CTACTACTACTATTACTATTACTACTACTACGACTACTACTACTACTACTACTACTACTACTACTACTACTACTACTACTACTACTACTACAACGACTACTACTACTACGGCTACTACTACTACGACTACCACGACTACTACGACTACTAATACGACTACGACTACGACGGCTACTGCTACTACGGCTACTGCTACTGATACGCACAATACGGTTGCTACTACTACTACTACTACCACTACTACTACTACTACTACTACTACTACTACTACTACTACTACTACTACTGCGACTCCTACTACTACTACTACTACTACTACTACTACTACTACTACTACTACGACTACGACTACGACTACGATTGCGACTACACTAGTACTACGACTACTACTACGACTACTACTACTACTACTACTACTACTACTACTACTACTACTACTACTACGGCTACGACTACGACTACGACTACGACTACGACTACTACTGCTACTACTACTACTTCTACTACTACGACTACGACGACGACGACTGCGACTACGACTATTACTACCACTACTACTGCTATTCCGACCACTATTACCACTGCCACTACTACTGTTACTACGACTACCCCAGTATTAACACTAGTAGTACCACTACTACTACCACTACTACGACTGCTACTACTACGACACGAATATCGACGCCAAATCGACGCTCACCGCCGCTGACGGACGCTGAATCGGCGCTACCTCATAGACTACCACATGCCACCCCACGCTAACACACTCGAAAGACTGAGTTACGAAGGTACACAAGGCCTCCAAAATTCGCTACCGACCAAATGGGGTCCGAATTGATGGGGTCGGAGGATCGCGCCGTATCGGCGATGCATCGCCGATGCGGCGTCGATGCATTCGCGGTTTCGGTGGAGCTCTCTGTGGGGCCAAGGCCACGGTCCTCGAGGGGGGTGTGCCCAAATGAAACCTCGGTGGAGCTCCCTGTGGGGGCAGCGCCACGATCCTCGAGAGGGGTGTGCCGAAATGAAACCTCGGTGGAGTTCCCTGTGGGGCCAGGGCCACGATCTTCAAGAGGGGTATGCCGAAGTGAGGCTTCGGTGGAGCACCCTGTGGGGCCAGGGCCACGATTCTCGAGCGGGGTGTACCGAAATGAAGTTTCGGTGGAGCTCCCTGTGGGGCCAGGGCCATGATCCTCGCGAGGGGTGTGCCGACAGTGCCACGATCCTCGAGAGAGGTGTGTCGAAATGAAGCTTCGGTGGGGCTCCCTGTGGTGCCTGGGCCACGATCCTTGAAAGGGGGTGTACCGAAATGAAGCTTCGGTGGGGCTTGGCGAAATGAAGCTTCGGTGGAGTTCCCTGCGGGGCCAGGGCCGCGATCCTCCAGAGGGGTGTGCTGAAATGGTGCTTCGGTGGAGCTCCCTGTGAGGCCGAGGGTGTGCCGAAATGGTGCTTCGGTGGAGTTCCCTATGGGGCCAGGGCCACGATCCTCGAGAGAGGGCATGCCGAAATGACGCTTCGGAGGAGCTCCCTGTGGGGCCAGGGCCACGGTCTTCGAGAGGGCGTGCCGAAATGAAGCTTCGGTGGAGCTCCCTGTGGTGCCAGGGCCACGATCCTTGAAAGGGGGTGTGCCGAAATGAAACCTCGGTGGAGTTCCCTGTGGGGCCAGGGCCACGATCTTCAAGAGGGGTATGCCGAAATGAGGCTTCGGTGGAGCACCCTGTGGGGCCAGGGCCACGATTCTCGAGCGGGGTGTACCGAAATGAAGTTTCGGTGGAGCTCCCTGTGGGGCCAGGGCCATGATCCTCGCGAGGGGTGTGCCGACAGTGCCACGATCCTCGAGAGAGGTGTGTCGAAATGAAGCTTCGGTGGAGCTCCCTGTGGTGCCTGGGCCACGATCCTTGAAAGGGGGTGTACCGAAATGAAGCTTCGGTGGGGCTTGGCGAAATGAAGCTTCGGTGGAGTTCCCTGCGGGGCCAGGGCCGCGATCCTCCAGAGGGGTGTGCTGAAATGGTGTTTCGGTGGAGCTCCCTGTGAGGCCGAGGGTGTGCCGAAATGGTGCTTCGGTGGAGTTCCCTATGGGGCCAGGGCCACGATCCTCGAGAGAGGGCATGCCGAAATGACGCTTCGGAGGAGCTCCCTGTGGGGCCAGGGCCACGGTCTTCGAGAGGGCGTGCCGAAATGAAGCTTCGGTGGAGCTCTCTGTGGGGCCAGGGCCACGATCCTCGAGAGGGGCGTGCCGAAATGAAGCTTCGGTGGAGCTCCCCCAGGGCCAGGGTTGTAGGCAGCCCTCGTGTCAGGTGCTTGTCTCTGCAAAAGGAAAGCGCTGCTGTTTGCAGGCCTAATTAGTCGAGGGACCCCTCTGCGGTCGAGGCCGCCGGGGTAACGCTGCCGTTCGGATGCGCTCGCGTCTGTAGACTCATCTGCTGCATGCACTCAGTCGCGGGCGCACTCACGTCGCTGTGGTCATCTTCGCCAAGCAGGCCTCCGACAGGAAACCCGGCTCGTGCCAAGTGCTTCACGTGCACGTTCAAGTACGACACGCCAGCGCCCGTACGCCCGTGAACGATCTTCAGCTCGACCTTGCCAAAAGCAACCCACTCTGGAATACTGCGTTCGCTCTGCGATGCGCTGTGATAGTACCCTCCAGTTTTTTTCGCCTCTGCCCAATACCCAGTCACGTTCACATCGGTGAAGTACATGTCCGCGCACTGGGAACCCATTCGGCGCGAATTGGCCTGCACGCGAAGCAATGCTTGTTCAACGCGACCTCCACGAGGGATGTTGATCAGGACATGGCTACCTGGCACCGTCAAATCGAACCGCTCGCCATGCACATTTTGCATATGCGGATCGCCAACGGCCGAACTCTGCGCGGGCGCTGGTGCTGGCGTCGGTGAGGGCGTTGGTGCTGGCGTCGGCTCCTGCTGCTGGAGAGCGTTTCTTTATGTTCGGCGATGACGGGCGTGATGGCGGGGGGCGAGGGGGGGTATGACGTAACGCCCCCCCCGCCGTGTGGCTCCCGCACCGCAGCCGCGCCCGCGCGCGCGACGCGACGAGCGACGAGCGACGTGAGACGACCACGACGACGACGACGACGACGCGAGCAGCATGTACGTGGCGATATGCCCCACTGAGCGTGTGTACGCCACAGCGCTCACGTGCAACACAGCGCGCGCGTGTATACCACAGCGCCTGCGTACACCGCAACAACCATGTGCAACGCAACGCCTGTGTACACCACAATGCTTGCGTACACTACAGCGCCGGTGTACACGTGTACACCGCAGCTACCATGTACAACACAGCGCCTGTGTACACCACAATGTTTGCGTGCACCACAGCGCCTGTGCACGCCACAGCGCGTGTCTACACCACAACATCCGCATGCAACGCACCGCGGGAATCCACCACAATGCCTGCGTGCATAGAACAGGTAAAAGGAGCATGTACGTGAGGATCTGCTGCGGACAACTAGACGCCACGCCAGGCAAGTGCTGATAATCGAATGCGACGTTTTTCCCTCCTCCATCCTCCACCGCCACCACCTCCTCCTCATCCTCCTATTCCTCCTCCTTTTCTTCCTCCTCCTCCTCCTCCTCCTCCTCCTCTTCCTCCCTCTTTTCCTCCATGCGCACTGTCGTGCGGGTTGGTGCTACAGCGCACGTGCGCATCTCAGCGCGCACCGCAGAATGGTCTATTGAATCGGTCCACTTAATTCTCGGACGGCCAATTTACCTGGAGCCTCCTCGACGCAGATGGGAGGAGATAGGGTGGTGCGGGCGGACTCGGGAACACTCGAAGATTCCAGCGCCGCTCCGTTGTCCATAACGATTAGTTCATATTGTTTTCTGTGGAATCCACGAGCGTTCCATTTTGTCATAAGGATTTGTTCTAACATTCTATATGCAACAGTGTTGCACACGGTTGCTGTGGTGCACACAGGCGCCGTGGTGCACACAGGCACTGCACTGCACGCAGGCATTGTGGTGTACACTGGTGCTGTGTTGCACACGGCTGATGTGGTGTACGCAATCGCTGTGGTGTGCACAAAAACCGTTGTGCCCGCAGGCACGGTGGCACAAAACTGACGCTGTGTTGCACGCGGCTGCAGTGGTGTACATAGGCGGTGTTGTGTACACAGGCACTGTGGTGCACGCAAGCACTGTGGTGTACACAGGCGTTGTGGGGCCAATCGCCACCTACACGCTGGCGCTACCCGTCCTCCGTCATTCCTAGGCATTCCCATACGCCGCCGGCGCGAAACGTGACGTCATCGACCCCCCCCCACCCCTCCTAGATGATTGCCGTCATCGGCCCAGAATAAAAAACAGGTTTCAGCCGCGTCTACGCGCACGACGACTATGGGCGACGAGCGACAAGCCACGGGCGACGACGACGACGGCGGCGGCGACGACGACGACGACGACGACTACGACAACGGCGACTGCGGACCAGACTCCTATGCGGATTCCTACGCAAACACCTACGCGGATCCCAATGCGCACGGCGGCAGTGCCGGGGGGAGCGTTACGTCACAGGGGGGGAGGGAGCGGGGGCCATGACGCCCGTCATGCCCCAAGCAATAAAGAAACGGTATCCTGGCAGTACGAGGTGCCAGTCGACATGTCTTGGTGCATGGTGAGCACCTCGGAAGCAGTGAGGGCTCGCTCCAGGAATGCAACTTCTTTGATCTCGCCAGCCCAATAAAAGCCAGAACCTTGGAGCTCCACTCCAATGCGTATCTGCTCATCCTCGTTCACTCCACTCCAAGTGTTGCTGTAGACGTTTGTTGCATCCACATAAACCGTGCCGCTGCCGCTGGCCACAGACACAACAACAGAATGGTAGTTGCCGTCGAAGAGTGAAATGCCGCACACGTCGGGATACCACTGCAAATCCTGCACGCCTAAACATGTGTTTCCATAATTTTTCCCAATGAAGAACTCTGTGCCAGAGCCAGAGGGGTCGTGCCCTCCCACGATAGCGCTGTAGCCTTGGGAAGGTGATCCAGTGTACTTTACCCACGCAGCGACTGTCCACGAATTGTCACTGCTACTTTTGAAGCTGGACTTTGTCATCCCAGTGTCGGCATACCCTTGAGTGAATATTACTGTCGTGCCGGACGCTGTGTATGCGCCACCCATAGTGGCGGGGAAGTTTCCAGTTATGTCAGGCCATACGCCATCTGCAACATTTGAGACGCCCGCATTGTAGTACGCTTTGAGCCCAACCCTTGTGCCACATGCCGATGTTGGTGGTGGCGTCGGCTCCGGCTGCTGGCAGTACACGGTGCCAGTCGACATGTCTTGGTGCATGGTGAGCACCTCGGAAGCAGTGAGGGCTCGCTCCAGGAATGCAACTTCTTTGATCTCGCCAGTCCAGTAAAAGCCAGAACCTTGGAGCTCCACTCCAATGCGTATCTGCTCATCCTCGTTCACTCCACTCCAAGTGTTGCTGTAGACATTTGTTGCATCCACATAAACCGTGCCGCTGCCGCTGGCCACAGACACAACAACAGAATGGTAGTTACCGTCGAAGAGTGAAATGCCGCACGCGTCGGGATAATACTGCAAATCCTGCACGCCTAAACATGTGTTTCCATAATTTTTCCCAATGAAGAACTCTGTGCCAGAGCCAGAGGGGTCGTGCCCTCCCACGATAGCGCTGTAGCCTTGGGAAGGTGATCCAGTGTACTTTACCCACGCAGCGACTGTCCACGAATTGTCACTGCTACTTTTGAAGCTGGACTTTGTCATCCCAGTGTCGGCATACCCTTGAGTGAATAGTACTGTCGTGCCGGACGCTGTGTATGCGCCACCCATAGTGGCGGGGAAGTTTCCAGTTATGTCAGGCCATACGCCATCTGCAACATTTGAGACGCCCGCATTGTAGTACGCTTTGAGCCCAGCCCTTGTGCCACATGCCGGTGCCGCCTGCGCATGAGCATCGTTGCGGGAAGCGTTGTGATGGAAGATGTCGCGAACCTGCACCACCATGGCAGTTGCGGTGTGGGCGCCCTGGAGAAGTGGCGGTAACAGATATGCGGTGCGCTGCGCCTTCCCTGTCGCCGGCATCCCAGCAAACTCAACGCAAGGAAGTGGCGAAAGAAGTGGAAGCGAGCAAATGGAAGAGCTTCGCTACGTATGCATAAAGTGCCCGCGCCTTGAGCAAGCTGAGGAGGGGCAGCCAAGAGTGTATAGCAGTGTGGCCGCGCCCTGCTGTTGGCGCCGCGGCCAGCCAGCGTCGCGAGGGCGGGCGCGCTCGCTTCTGACACCGCGCTGGTGGAGCCGAACGGGGCAACGCACACACACACACACAGGAGTAATACGCACTTTGATAAGATTCGCCTACCAGGGGGGGAACTCAAGAACAACGCCCCCTCCGCAGGGGGGGGGGCTGGAGGCAACCTCTCCGCGCGGCGGGGCCTTCCTGCAGTGGCGCTCGGGGGAGCGAAGGGCAATCCGTCCAGCCCCTGGTTCACTGCCAGACCTGAGCTCAATCGAATGATACCAGAGAAAAACCCAATCATACTCTTTTTAGGGCTATAGGGCTATGGGGTTGTACGGCTATAGGACCATAGGTCTATAGGGCTATAGGGCTATAGGGCTATAGCACATAGGGTTATAGGGCTATAGAGCTATAGGACTATAGGGCTATAAGGCTACAAGGCTACAGAGGCATAGGGCTATAAGGGCTAAAGGGCTATAGGGCTACGGGGCTATAGGGCTATAGGGCTATAGGGAGATGGGGCTATAGGGCGATTGGGCTAAAGGGCTACTATAAGACTATAGGGCTACCGGGCACCCGGGCACCCTAGCACCCGGGCGCACCTGGGCACCCGGCCCCCTGGGCGTGCCGCCGAAATCAGCGCCGCACCTCACCTAACCATGAAAACCTTTCCTGACATGAACGGGAAGCGCGTGAAAGGGAAGAGTTGCGCAAGAATCTGCAGCATCATCGTGATCAAATGTAATATAGGCGAGCTCTCCGAACGCTCACAAAGGATACGTATGGACACGCGCCCCCCGAACGTTTACAAGCATCTTCCTGGTTATCCTCCTCACTCCTCCGCATGAGGACGACGACGGCGAAAACGACAATCGTGGGAGGAGGGGGAGAAGGATGAGGAGGAGGAGGAGGAGGAGGAGGAGGAGGAGGAGGAGGAGGAGGAGGAGGAGGGGGAGTAGGGGGAGGAGGAGGAGGAGGTGGAGGAGGAGGAGGTCCAGCAGCAGCAGCAGCAAGAAAGGAACAGAGGGTGAGGAGGGGACGGGGAGGAGGACGAGGAAGAGGAGGAACAGGAGCAGGAGGAGGAGGAAAAAGACGAGGCGGATGAGGAGGAAAGAAAAGGAGGAAAAACAAGAGGAGGAGAAGGAGGAGGTGGAGAAGCAAGAACAGGAGGAGGAAGAGTCTTTCCTCTGAAAATCGGGGTAAGATGCCAAAGGAATTAAGGTCTCATGATCACTACGCTCAATAGTAGGGGGTATGGGATGAGACATCGATGAAACAATATGTTATCCGTTAAGCGCATGCACCCAACCAAGTATAGAAAGGAGGAGGTCCGGCCGGCCGACGACCGACGACGGGCGCGGGCCGAAGGCCAGCTCGCTCCTTTTCTTACTCGAGTAGCAAACGGCTGAATGTAACAGTAACAGTAACAGTAAAGTCAAGGTATGACAAGCGAGGCAGCAAGAGAGGCGACTACACGATGAGGCGGAGAGGAGCATATTTACTCCCCCCGCGGCGGGTTTAGTAGAGCAACCCCAGCCACAGCCCTCCCGGCCTGCACATATTTACAGCCACCGGAGCGAACCCCAAAAGCATTTTACCGCTCAACGGTGGTTACCAGGGTATAAAGGCCGAAGAAACCCGACGAAACCCACCAATAGTTAAGATAAAACCTCTCTCGCCGAAAAGACTTGGTCATTCGGACATCGCCAATACGACTTGGTCGTTTGGCTCGCGTCCTCACTCACTCGCTGTACCAGGAGGACTGCGAGCGTGAAGGCGGAGGAGGAGGTCTCGGAGTTGAAGACGAAGAACCTCCCTTCTGTCCAGCTGTCCAATGAGGCGCAGCTGATTTGCCTCCCTTGCCAGTGCCAGCGTATGGAGCTGGCCGGATGTTCTTGGCATTGCCCTTGTTCTTGGCGCACCCCTTGCCCTCGTCCCTCGAGAGGTAGTGGTTATACTCATTCAAGAACACAAAGTGCCACACGCGACTGCTTCCCTCTCTGGGTTGCTTCCAGAAGATGAGGTCGCGGTGCGCCCAGTATCCCTTCATCTCGCCGGACGCGGAGTACTGCGGGTAGTGGACCGCGGGGTCAAAGCGGCCATCGCCGCGGCCGGCAGCCATGGCCCCGCCGCGCGCGCGCGCGGCCATCGGCCGATCCCGCGCGCCCCCCACAGAAGAACGTCTCGAAAACTCCTCGCCCGCCGAAACGGTTTGACCGCCGGCGGAGCAAGGAGACTCAGTGATGTCATCACTAGCCATAGCGTCTTGGACGTTGGGCGGTCTAGGCGGGGCAGGTGGAGCCGGGCGACCAGCAGGGCTCGGCCTTGCTGGCGCGGCAGAAGCCCCCTCCGAACCGGCCGGGCCGTCGGAAGGGTCTTCAGCGCCTCCTTCTTCACGAAGGCACTTTTCATGTTCCCACCTCGCATATCTCACAATACCCACCGAAGCAGTAGTCACATAGACACCGTATCTCCCATTGGCAGTGCGAATTGGGCCTTCGTCACTGTCCTGTTCCTGGGCAGATGCTAAGAATGGGTGTAAGAAAAAGACAGCTTCTTGCAACTTTGCGCCTTGGCGACGAAGGTCGGCTCGGCGCTGGGCGCAAAGATCGCGAGCCCACGCCTCGGCGAGGTCGCCCGTATCGACAGCCATACGAATGCGGCGGCCCAGCGCGTCAGCATCGGCGCGGCGCTGTCCGCTGTCATACCCGTCGTTTTCATCGCGAGCATGGAGGCCAGTCGTGGGAAATGCAACGCGAGATCCGTTGACGAGGAAACAGGCAATGAGCTCGCGGACAATCACAAACACACGCATGACACGAAGGTTCAGGTCGAGCTCCCCAACGGGAGTCTTCCAATTCTGCACAATGGACTCTCCCACATCTGCAGCAACCACATGTGTCAATTCTCACGTCAGGCGCGACCGATTGATCGCACCCGTCCTCGGGTTATGACACACATGCTCCATAACATACTGCGCAGCGACGTCGATGGTTTCCTGCGTTGTCGTGATGGCGCGCAATGTGCCATCATCATGCTGAGGAGTCACCTGTCCGTCGGGCGGATCAAGGGTGATCTTCCCCTCGAGCATCTGCTGGGTCTGGGACCCGCAGACGGCGGTAAAATCGAGGGGCGCCAGAACCGACCTCTCATTCCCTGTCGCCTCGGCTTCGCCGGCGACAGGCGTCACAATACTGAGGAGATGCTCGGAGCAAATCTTGTTCGCCTGGGCACTGACTTGGATAGGCGGGCAGGGCGAGCAGTGAATTGCTCAGCCCAGGCAACAGGCGGGCGACAACGAGGGCTGGGCCCTGCGGCGTCCGCGCCAATATCCTGTGCATTAGGCATCCAGGCCGCTACTCCATTCTTTGCATCTTGAACTGTCTGGAGAGTCGGCACAACCATGACGGGGGATAATAATCAATTCATTTTCATCTGGCCAGTCAAAAGCGGCTAGAGGAGGGCAGGAAAATGGACGCGCATACTGATCGATGTCTGTGGCCCAAATCAAGGGCCACCACTCTGCGATGGTTATTTCTCTGACCCCTGCTCTTTCTGCCAGAAACGCCAGCCACTCTATGAACCTCCTCTTGAAGGGTTCAAGGTACTGGAAGAAAGGTCCGTGGCGCGCCGGCGGCTGGGCCGCGGCGCTGTCAGGGACCCAGGCAGGAACATTGGCCAGGCGGCTGGTGCCAAAGGTTTGACCTGCAGCAGCCATCGTGGCGCATGAGCCGCTCGCCCATTTACGCTCCAGTTTCAAATTGTTGTTGATGTTCGTCGTGACATCCGCTGACGCTTTGTTCTGCCGTGCTCGTCTCTCTCCAATGTACAGATCCTGCTGTCGTGGCAAATTGTGGTGATCATGAACGGTCAGCTTGAAGCCGTTATTCCACAATGAGTTCTCAATGGTCTGTGACCTTAGTGACTGAAGCAAATAATTATGCGCAACCATGTAATTATAATTTACTGCGTTATTGTAAAAGGGGCAACGGCCGAAGCCTGTACGCACCCAATGCAATTCAGCGCAGAGGAACCTACCATCGTCATCCCAGGGGACTGACCGGATGAACTCATCTGCCCTGCCAGGCCAGTCCTTGAAGTCTGGCCACAGCGTCACAGACTCGTCAGCGTGAACCCATCCAAGCATGGAGCTGTCGTCGAAATCCACCTCATACGAGGTCCACTCTTGACTGAAGATAAGGGCCCAAGAAGTCAACATTTGATTCACATGAAGCCAATCCCGTACCGTGGCAAGAGTGACAGCTTTATCGATGTCGGTGGATTTCGGCACCTGACGAGACACAAGGGTTCCGTCGCGGCAAACCCGGCACGAAAATCAGGTGAGAACACGGCCATTGAAAACAAGAACAAGCTGCCAGGAAGCTCTGTGCGTCGGGAGTTGGTCCCACAGACGGACTGTGTACACTGTGGGCCATGACCCAATCTTTGCAGGTTGTCCCACCTCGGGGGCTCGGCCCATTTGGCGGTACTTTTTCTCAGGAGCACTCTCACCACCCCTACGCTAGCTTAGCCGGGAAGGAAAGTGGCCTGGGCTTTGCATGGCCGGATCCCGCTTGGTCGGGAGAAGTCGCAACAATCCATAGTCCGACTCAAAGCAAAGGCCCGACGCGCTCTTGGGGAACTGGATGTCCCCGAGCATCGATGCCTCCAACGTCTCCATGTCCGTAATATGGAGAAGAGGGCCACGGCACCTGGCTAGGCCAGGGTCACAAGGCGCATACATTCTCTCCATGGAGGCAGCAAGTGTGGAGCGCCCTTAGCATGCTCTGTAGAAAACGGGGCCTGGACAATGATGTCGCTCATACGAAAATACAAGCCAGCCCCCAAAGTCTCTCCACTGGTCGCGGATCCTTGCGTTGCCGACGCAAGCAAGTTTATCAGAAGGTATGCCCAAGATGTCTACGGCGCCTGGCTGCAACGCGGCTAGGCCGCGTGCAGCAAGTGCCACCGTTTGGCATTCATATCCATCTTCTCGCACCTTGTCGACTAGGTCTCCAAAATAGGCCCAACCTCCCGAAAACCCCGCGTAATCGGAACAATGTCTCGCGAGATACGTGGCAAAATTTCCAATGCGCATCGCAAACTCATCTATCCGACCACTGTGGCGTCGCCAAAACTCCGTACAGCCTAGGGCCGCCGGATTTTTGTCGTCGGCAACGCCTACAGCCAACGGGGCCAGGGCCTTGTAGGCCCGAGAGTCGAGACCCTCAGGGACGTCATCAGAATAGAACTCTGCGCGAAGGTAGTCCCTCGTCTGATCAAAACTCATTACGTCGAGGGAAAATTCTCCTAACAACGCAAATATGGGATCCTCGACAAGCTCGGCCATGTGTTTGAGCGTGTCAAACGTTCTTTCACGAATAGCCTCGACATTGGGAGGTACAGGGCCAGTAGTATGGGCCTCTCGAATCCGACGCTTCAACTGAGCAGGCTCGTTCTGTATAATTCGGTTTCGGTCATTCTCCGAAAAGTAAAGGTCTCTGCCCTTAAATTTGTCGGCGTGGCCAACGGTGACCTCATTTCCACCCTGACGGGGCGGAGTTTCCGTCGGGTGAAGCTGCCGCATGTCAGGGGAAGGCGGCAGGTTCATTCGGCAAAAGAAGTTGGTCGCCGTTGGTCCAGACTGACAATCATCCTCTTCAGGGTAGACAAGTCACCCTGATATGGAAAAGCAGCGAGGTCGGCAAGGGACGGGCTGACCTCAAGAGACCCCGGCGTGTCTGGGACACCCGGGGCTTTAGTCGCTGGGGAGGGCTCCACAGTGTCTCGGCCGCTCGGAGCGGCGACTGGTGGAGCCGCCTTCGCAGCGGGCTCAGCCTCATCCTCAGAAGGGATGTCGATCTTTTTCGTAGGGGACAAGTTCTCCTGCGGGTCAGTCTGTTTTGCGTCGACGACAGTCGCATCAACCTCCATCGGGTTACTCTGTAATGTTGCATTACCCGAGCTGGCTGGGCCAGCCGGGCAGTGAGGCTGTACAGGATTATGCACGGCCTCCTCCGCTCTGGGTGGGCCAGGCGGAACACTGGCAGCACGCCGTGACTCGTATGTCGCATTATCCTCCGTCTCTGAGTCCTGTGGACCAGCCAACGAGGGAGCGGGGGCTGAAATCGCAGGGACTGCCCTCGCGGTCAGGGCCGCATCTCGGGCCTCGGCGTCTTCATCCTGATCAGGGTCAGGGAGATCCTCTGCCGCGGCTGGGCCGGGCGGAGGCGCTGGAGGCGCAGGTACCGCGAACCCACCTATAATTGCGCCGCTCTCGTTGCGAGGCTGCGAGCTTTCGCTTTCGGCGGCAATTTCAGGGGTGGGATTGAAAGCAGGCACCCTACTGCGGATAGTGCCCACAACGGCGGCTGCAAACATCTTCCATGGATTGGAATATATTACCCGGCTCATGTGCTTTCCTTGTATGGAAAATCACGTATTTACGTTTAGCAGCATCAATGTCAACCTCCACCAACTGCAAATCCTCAGGATCGTCCTTACTTGACTGGTTCTGGTAAACGGCAGCCCTCGTCTGATTAAAGAAATCGGCCTTACGGGCACGTTCGCCCTGAAAGTGATAATGCGAAACTTCTTTGATGGACCGGACGATGCAGGCTGCAGCGTCGTCCCCCTCTGGAGCCAGGGACTCCTCCGAAGAAGGATCCCCATCCGGCCGAGGCAGGGAAGAGGCCGCAGGAGTGCCCCGTCCTTCGGTGCCTCCAGGGCGGTGAGAGCCCCCATCCTCGGCATTCTCGGCCTCCGCTTTAGCGATCTCAGTCCTCACCGCAGAGCCCTCAGCCCTCGTCGTAATTGAGTCGAAGGGAAGCCCCTTCCCTTCGATCCCTCCCCCGCCGGGGGGGGGGGGTCCCGCGGAGGGGGGGGGGGGTCAGATACGACGCCCCCCCTGGGAGTCACGGAGCCCAAAAAAGCCCCAAGACGGGACAAGAGTGCCCCAAGCGGCCCCAAAGACAGTCCAAGAGAACCCCGAATCGCCGAACGATCTGTCCAAGACGCCTTGACGGCCTCCAGACGGCCCAAGAGGCCTGCAAGGCTCCCCAAGAGGCCTCCAGGAGCTTTCCCACGAGAGCCCCAAGAGGCAAAATTCATGGATTTCCCATGCGTTTTTGGAAGATGTTGACGTTCTTGCCTCTTCCGCTTCCCGACGCGGCAAAACGGCCCAAGAGGCCCCCAAGATCGCCCCGAGACGGCCCAAGAGGCCCCCAAGAGGTCCCCCTAACGGCCGAAGAAGGCCCCAAGACGGCCCAAGACGCCTCCAAGACGGCCCAAGAGGCTCCCCAGACGGCTCCAGGAGAGTGCCCAGACGGGGGGGACCCGAACGGACATTTCGAGCTCTCAGCCCCAAGAGGCCCCCAAGAGGCCCCGAAGAAGCCCCAAGAGGCCCCAAGAGGCTCCCGAGGTGCCCCCAAACCAGGAGAGCCCCAAATTGCCCAGGAGGCCTCCAAGAGTGCTTCGAGACGGCGCAAGAGGAGCCCTGGACGGCCCAAGACGGCCTCAAGAGAGCCCCAGGCTGTCCCAAGAAAGCCTCTGGCCTCCTCCTCTTCCTCCTTTTCCTCCTCCTCCTCCTCCCCCCCTCTGCTCCCCCTTCTCCTGCTCTCCTCTGCCTCCTTCTCCTCCTCTTGCTTCTCCTCCACATCCTTCTCCCCCCTCCTCCTCCCTCATCCACCTCCTCCACCCACTCATCCTCCTCCCCCTGCCCCCCCCCTACGTTTTCATCTTCGTCGTTCTCAAGGCCGGCGCCACCGGCCGTAAGGCCTTCGCAATCATCCAAAGAGGTCTCGAAAATAGCAAATAATATGTTTTTGTTTTGTTTGTTTATTCTTGAATATCCCTCCTGTAGAGGGGCATCGAGATCGCGGGCCCCGCCCGCGGGCCGAGGCGGGTCGTGGGCGACCCCGGCAAGTCCGGCCGGCAGGCTGCGTGTGGGGGGCGGGGGGGGCCGTGGGCAGCTGCACCGGGAGCACGAAGCCGCTGGACGGTATGTGCACGATGTCGAGCGGCTCCCCGGGCTTCTCCTCGGCGGCTCGCGGGAAGACCCCGATGGGACGCACGGGGACGTACTAGTACTATTTGTCTTCCCTGGAGGCGCGCGTCCGACCCGAACATATATAGTATACCCATCTTGTAGTATATCGTTTCCCGAGCGGTGTGGCCAGAAAGCGCCCGCCACGACGCATACTCTACAAGATTTCTCGGTGCGCGCGTCGCCCCAGGGGGGGGGGGGGGGGGGGGGCCACGCACATATAGTATAAGTATGTTGGGGTGACGTCGACCCGAGATCCTGGCGACTCTGATGTTTTGAGCCTGGCTTTTGCGCTCAACACCTGGCCCCGGGACCCTCACAGGTCGACCCGGCTCGAGACATGACGCAGAAAGATAGGGCCTGGGGGTCCGGATGTGATTCGTTGCAGCTTTTTGCCACGTCGGCTCTCCGGGGAGAGATTCGGCGGCGAGCCCTGGGGGGGAGTAAGAGGCGGGCCTTCTCAGAAGGCTCGGAGGGCCTCCTGGAAAAAACGATGGTTATATACATATATACATATATAGGAGAGAGCGTGATCCACCGCCGCTTTACTGCGGAAAATTGCCAACCTTTTCCTCTGGAACCCGGGGGCCCCGCCCCCCCCCCCCCCCTCCGAAAATCCCCCCCCCTGCTGGAACCCCTCCCCCCCCCCCCCCCCCTCCCCCGGCAAAACCCCCCCCTCCCTACCCCCTCCCCCCCCCCCCCCCCTCCCGCTCGAAAACCGGGGGGGGTCCACCCCCCCCCTCCCCCCCCCCCCCTCCGGATCCGGAAACCGGGGGGGTCACTACCGGTTCGACCCCCCCCCCCCCCTACTCACCGCCAGCAAACGACTCCCGGTCCCCACCACCGTCCGCATCACATCCCCCACTGGTGTTCCCAGCACCACTGTCCTCACCACCGCTGTCCCCACTGGTTCCACCACCGCCCCTACTGTCCCCACCAGTGGCCCCACCACTGTCGCACTGTCCCCGCTGTCCCCAGAACTGTTCCCACCACGGTTCCACTCTCCCCACTGTCTCCACGGCCCCAACCACTGCCCGACTATCCCCACTGTCCCCACTGTCCCACTGACTCCTCCGCTGTCCCACTGAGCTGTCCCACTGTTCCCACCACTGTCCCCACTGTCCCCACCACTGTCCCCACTGTACCTCTGTCCCATTGTCCCACCGCCGTCCTCGCCACCGCCTTCACCACTGTCCCCACCACCATTGTACCCTCCACTGTCCCACTGTTTCCACCTCATTCCCATTGTCCCCACACCACTGTCCCCACCACCACCGTCACCACCACTGTCCACTGTCCCCCCCTGTTCCCACCATTGTCCCCACCACTGTCCCCACCACTACCGTCCCCACCACTGTCCCACTGTCCCACTGTCCCACTGGGAGGGGGGGGGGGGGGTTTTCGAACGAACCGGTAGTGACCCCCCCCCGCTGGTTTTGACCCCCCCCGCCAGCAGCGGTAGAAAACGCTCTTTCAGATATATATAGACATATTATCAAACCAAAATTGCAAGCGCACACGTTTTTTTGAAAATCAGTGTTGCGAAATAATGTGTGTTTGATATGTTTTTTGAGGCCGCCGATTTTGAAATCCTTCCGAAACCGAAGGTTTGGGCCTCCAGAGACTTTTGTCCGAGCCTCCTCCGAAGACCGAGGCGGCTTCGAAGAAGGCCAGGGGGCTTCCGAGAGGTCCCGCCGCCTGCGGAGGAGGCCTGCCCTCGCTCGCGTCCCACCCCTGGGGGGGCGCGCCGCCGAGAGGTGCCAGGGGCACGCGGAGCCCTCGCGCGCCCTCGGCTAAGATTAGGTCGGGCATGTCCGCTACAGGCAGATTTGAGACGGTATACACACATGTGTGCTACTCTCTACATATATATATACATATATATATATACATACATGAATGTATACTATAAAAATAAAGGGACAGGCCCGACTCAAACTGCTAAGAGGAAGAGAAAGTGCCGTCGCTCGGACGGCCGTGCCCCGTCCACTCCCCGCGCGCACGGTCCACTCCCCGTGAGCTCCCTGCGTGGTCCTAGCTTTAGGTCGGGCACGTCACCCTGCAGGGGGGATCTTGGGCGAAGTTGAAATAGGCAAGAAGTACTCCGAAATACTCCAACATGGTCAAGAAAGTCCCCAGGCTATGTTTGGACCATTTCTGAATATTCCCCCCTGTAGAGGGACAGGCCCGATCTAAGCCTAGCTGCCCCAAAGGGGTCCAGGTTGTCTGGCGCTGGCCCCGCCGACAGAGGAATGCACACGCACAGAGCGATGCCGGGCGGGCACACGGAGCCCTCGCGTCGTCGGTGCTGGCACTGGTACGTCAGGCACCAGGCGCTGCTCGGACCAAGCCAGGCATCACACAGGGAAGACTGCGCCTGAAGCTACAACTTGGCGGCGAGCGAGGGGGGGAAGTGAGAAGGAGAAGGCCTTCTCAGAAGGCGGCGGGACTTCTTAGAAGCCCTCGCGCCTTCCGAGAAGTTGTTTGTGTCTTCGGGGACGGCTTAGAAAACTTCTCAGAAGGCCGTCTCCTTCTCACTCCCCCCCCTCGCTCGCCGCCAAACAACACACTGCATGCGGCACTCTAGGAATGGCGCGAGAATGTCGCGCCGTGTGCTGAGCTGCTGTCGTGCTACGTGCTACCGAACATTCTGCGTGCTCAGTACCGGAGAGAGAGAGAGAGAGAGAGAGAGAGAGAGAGAGAGAGAAAAAAAGCGGCATGAGGATAAGCGGCACAGCCGCGCGGCGCCCTCGCGTGTTCCATGCCAAAACAAGAGCGTGCCATCGCTCGGAGAGCCATGCCCCGTGCATTGCTTGGCTTCGCGAGTACGCTTTCCCTACAGGTTGTCCAAGATGTTCTGAGATGGTCCAGAATTTCTGGCGCTGGCCCCGCCGCGAGAAGTGCGAACGTCCGAGCAATGCCCCCCGAAAAAAGCAAAAGAGCAAAAGATTCTAGAGCTCCGCGCGGATCTCTTGGTTCGGCGAGGGGCCCCCCTGGCGGCGCCTCCGGCGCCGCCCCTGGCGCCGCGCAGACTCAGGAAATCCGCGCGGACCTCCAGCAGTGCACGCGTTTACGCATATGTGTTCTCCGAACTGCGCTGTGCGCTGCTGCATCAGACTCGTGGCCTGTCCGCCCCACCCGCACCACCAGGACGCGTGGACTGCGTGCTCGAGAGATCGGACCGGGCACGTCACGCCACGGGAAAACTACTCCGAGGCGTCCCGTTTCGGCACCGAGTCCCGAGGGCACTGGCAGGGTGCCTGGGGGGTTCGAAGGGGCCCCGGGGTGCGGCCCGTCATGATCCCCAAAACTTTGGCGAGGTTCGGGACAGGCACGCATCAGTCCTGTTGTTTGAGCTCTAACAGGCCATGCGACCTCTGAACCGCGGCGCAGTGAAAGGCACGTCCTGCTCCACGGGCTCGCCCACGGCGCCTCGAGTCGCAGAGAAGGGAAGCCAGGCTTTGAAGACGCAGGCCAAGCCAGGGACGGAGCAGGCAGACAAGGGGGGAGTGATGACCGAGTACGGGGGACATGAAATGAACTAGAACAGCTGCGAGCAAACACAAGCGGCCCCATGATCCACTGGTGCAGCATTAAGATCTGCGGCTGTGTATTGATTGACAGGCTGCACTCGGTGTGATATAAGGAATATTAGGAGCCAAGACGGAATCCCACCAGCCCTCTCGGAGTACATGGTTTCGGGGGATCATATTCCAACTCCCTTGGTTTCCTTCAGGGGAGGGTCTATTTCTGCTCCCTGCTAATAAACACCCCCTCCCCCACCCGACTGGCGAAAACCAGGGACAATGCCAACACGCCCCCGCCATCCCCGTCAAAAAATCATACACTTTCAGGATTGGAGCGCCCAAGACGGCCCAAGCTAGCTGCAAGATGGCCTCAGATGGCTCATGGATGGCCTCAGATAGCCCAAGCTGGCCTCGAAGATGGCACTGGGTAGCCCAAGATGGCTCAGGATGGCATTCAAACAAAAAAACTTCCAACAGGCACCAAGACCGCCCCAAGACGGCTTCAAGTGGCCAATGAGCCGCCCAAGGATATCTCGGAGAGGCCAAATTGTGACTTCGCGACTTTTCGCCTTTGATGGGCTTCCGAGGCCTCCGTGTGGCTGCCTGATCGCCCAACAGGAACACATGAGGGGCCCAAGACGGCTCCAAGGGCTCCCAAGAGGGCTCCAAGAGCGCCCAAAGATGGCCCGAAGAGGCTATTTGTCGGGCTCCGATGGGGGCGCGGCGGCTGAAATGGCATGACGGCTCTTCTGCCCCTCTTCCAAAACCATTTCTTCCCCTCGTCGGGGAGGGGTTGGGAATTCCTAATTCATGTACACTTCGATACACCCCCTCCCCACCTGACCGGGCAAACCCGGAACCATGCCGACAACCCCACCACCCCCTTCAAAAAACAAGGCAAAATGTCACGCGCGGGCACCAAACCATCAATTTACATGTTTTTTGCTGCAGGGACGGGGGGACTGGCATATTGCCTGCTGCGCACAGGCCCATCACCTCTGCAAACAAAGCATACGAAATACACTGTGCAGCAAAGTCCTGATCACGCGCGGGCGCCCCGCGATCCCTTTGCATCGTTGTTGGGCAGGGGTGATAGGGGTGCCTGCCCTGGCACGCGCGGCGCACCTCGCGGGCGTCGCGCACCTGGCTGGCGTCTGGCACTGGTTCCTGATGCTTGTCGATGGCGTCCCCTGCCCGTGCTGAGACTCGGGCGCTGCTCCTGTGGTGGGAGGGCGAGTGGGAGTGAGCGAGAGGGCCGTCCTTCGGAGGGGGTAGCTTGACCCCCTGCCCCCTCCCCTGGGCCTGGACGGGGGGGCCCCGAGATGGCAGACCGCCCTTTTGGGTTCAAGATGGCCTTCCGGCGGCTCCCGGTGCGCCAAGATGGCCTCCGAGTTGGCCCAAGACGGCCCGAGATGGCTCAGGAGAGCTTCCGACATGCCTCCTGGAGGTCCCGAGAGGGCCACAGGACAGCTCCGCGTGGACACGGAGCCTCCTGAAAAAAAAGAGGCCAAAGCTGTCCCAACACCTCGCCTTGTCCCAAGAGCCTCACGGATGGATGGCGGATCGTTTTCAGAATGTGCCTCTTGCCTCAGCGCCGCGCAGTCTCGTCTCGAAAATGTGCACGAGCTTCACGGACGGAAGGCGGGCCGCTGTTTTGAATGTGGTTCTCGCCTGAGCGCCGCACACATTCGTCTCGAAAAATGACGAGGGCTTCAAAGATTCTCGCATAGTTGTTTGCTGTTTTGGCACGTCGCCAGACTTCAAAAATTACGAGGCCTTCAAAAATTATAAGAACTTTGGGTGTTTGGTTTGTTGGTGTTCTCGCACTTCAAAAAATGATCAGAATGTCAAAGAACTTCACGTCCCAGCAATGATGTTTTGGCACCATGCCGGACTGTCAGGCCGCAAGAGCTACGTCGAGTCGTGGTCTGGAGTCCCAGGGATGGTGTGCTGGCACGAGTCAGGGGCGTCAAGACGCAACAGTAACTGTGATTCGCGGCGTTGAAGTCCCAGGAATTGTGTTCTCGCACAGTTCAGGATTTTCAAACAGTTATCTTCCAACGGGGCACTTCCCTCAGTGAAAATGAACCCTTGTAATGGGGCCGATGAAGAGGGAACTTGGAGGGAGAGGTTATTGCAATAATGTTGATGTGTCTTGGGTTTACACTGGTCCTCCTGCTCCTCCTACTCCTCATCATCATGCTTCTCCGTATCATTGTCCTTCTCCTCTTCATTATGGTTTCCCTCCCCATCATCTTTATCCTCATCCCCATCCTTTTTGTATTCCCCCTCAGTATCTTGCTCCTCCTTCCCCCTCCTGCCAAAATGGCTCCAAAAGGCCTCTACGAGGCTCCTAAGACATCTCGCCTGGGCATCGGTTCTGGATTGGATGGCACTCCTGCATCGGCTCCCTGGGAATAGGTAGGAGTCAGTGTCCCACGGATCATTCTGGGCGCCCCTCCCCTGCCACGAAAAACTCTGGAGTCATAAACTCACTCGCGGCGCCCCTACAAGTGGCGCCTGTCAACTCCCCGAAGAAGATAGCACGGAGGAATGCGCGGGTGGAAGTTCCGCTGTATTTTACTCACCTCTCTCATCGGGGCAACCCCCTGAGTACAGTCGGGCCGCTGGCCCAAGGAAGGACAAATCAGGAACGAGGAGAGCCTTCTTTCCCAAGAAGCCCACGAAGTGCGAAGGGGCCCTTTGGGGGGGGGCTCGCCGCTCCCAAAAAAGCGGAAACCGCATGCAAACCGAAGGAACGCCCGAGCCCCTCTTGAAAAGTAAGTGTTCCTAATTCAGCGGCCCGACTGTACCCATCGGTCGGCAGAAGTAGGTAGAAGCATGAAGTAGGAAGGCGTTGGAAATAGATTGGGTTTCCGCACGCCTCCTGAAGAGGAGGGAAGAGGGAAACCCCCTCGACTCTTGAAGTAGGAAGGCGCTCAAAGTAGATTGGAATCTGGGAATCCAAAAATACCTACTTTCAACGACCGATGGGTATCGTTGCTGGATGGGCTGGGGGGGGGCACGCGAGGCGTCGAGAATTGCTCAAATGCCGTGTCACAACTTTCCTAGGCAACATCCGCGGTGAACGAAGAGATGCAGCTCGCCATGCATGTGCCACGCATGCCCAACACCATGACCTTCTCCACATCGGCTTCCACGCTGCAGCAGAGCACCGCGATGCGCGCATGTCACCATCGCGGAAAAAAACCTAGAACATCTCCTCCCTCGGCAACTTCCTGCAAGTCCGAGCCAAGGCAGAAGCCGAACAAGCGGAGCCGCCGCGCAGCCGAGACGCGCCGAAACCGTCCCGAGCTGGCCCCAAGACCGCCCCAAGACGGTTCGAAGTGGCCACGAAGCCTCACCTGACGCCTCCCAGAGGCCCCAGAGTCCTTCCAAAACCTCAGTGAAAGTTGTGTGTGCGCGTGCGTGCGTGTGTGCTGTGCCTTCGTTCCTTGTCGCTCGCGATGGGCTTCTGAGGCCTCAGGATGGCTTCCAGATGGCCCCAGAAGCCCCAAGAGAGGCTCAAGAGGGCCCAAGGGCGGCCCAAGAGCGCCTCGAGATCGCTCCAGGAGGCGATCCTCAAAGACGGGTTCCAAGACCGCCAACACGCTTCCAAAAAGTCCCCAGAGGCCCCAAGAGTCCCCGAAGAGGCCCCCAAGAGGCCCCAGGAGGCCCCCAAACGGCCCCAAGGAGGCCAAGGGGCCCCCGAGAGGCGTCTCAGAAGGCCTCTGACTTACAACCCAGGCATGGTGGCCGGATGGGCCGAGGAGGAGGAGGAGGAGGAGGAGGAGAAGCTACCAGATAGCCTTCTCGTTGGCTACACGTGCCGCCGCTGCTGCCGCATCGGTTGCACCAGTGCGCGCCTGCGGCGGTCGTGTCGAGGGCCGTCGCCGCCTTCCCGCCTGCAGAGTCCTCGGGCGCCCTCGGGCGCTCAGTGGCCGTTGCCCGTGCTGCCCCATCTGTCCTGCCTCCATCAATCCAGCCTCCTCCTCCTCCTCCTCCTCCTCCTCTCTTCCTCCTCTCCCTCCTTCCTCCTCCTCCTCCTCCTCCTCCTCCTCCCTCCTCCTCCCCCTCCTCCCTCTCCTCCTCCTCCCTCCTCCTCCTCCCTCCTCCTCCCTCCTCCCTCCTCCTCCACCCCCTCCTCCTCCTCCTCCTCCTCCTCCTCCTCCTCCTCCTCCTCCTCCTCCTCCTCCTCCTCCTCCTCCATCAATCCGACAATCCGTCAATCCACGACTGCCTGATCCAGACGCCGCCGCGTCGAGAAAAAAACAGCATACGATTGTTGTTATTCTCTGCCTGTGGGGTCCCTCGCCAGGGCCCAGGACCGTAAAAAAAGCTCGAGATGATAACCCAGTCCCGGCTCCAGACGTCGACGGCGCGAAAGAATCATGACGTCGCGGGTCCGGCAACGGAGCTTTCGTTGGAGCGCGCATCCATTCTGAGCCGCCGCCGTTCCCTCATCCTCTTTAAGAGTGATGCCAGGACAAAACGCCACAAGCGCCGACAAGACACTGCAACGCCCTCGTCCTGGAGGTGGCATGGAAGGGGCATGAATTAACTACGCGTGCACTCCTGGACCAAGTCGCACTGCACATACCGCACTGGGCCGCATTGCGCTGCATATTAGTTATATTGCGTACGTCATGTGTTGTGTCGACAGGGTTACCTTAAATGCGTTGTGCTGCGTAATGTGAACTGAATTGCGCGTATTGGTGTGTGTGTGTGCGTGTACCTGACTTGCCCATTGCGTACTGTGGGCCGTGTGTTGTGCAGAATGTGGCGTTTTGTGCGTTTCGTTATGTGCGTTGTGCCAAATGTGGCGCGTGGTGTGTAATTTGGTGAGTGCCGTGTCTTGGGCGCTGCGTCTAGAGAATGTGTTGTGGCGTGCTGTGTGGTGTATCGTGCATGGATTGTGCGATGTGCGTTTGGTGTTCGTGTGTTACATTATGTGTTGCGCATTGTGCCATGAGTAGTTTGCTTATTGTGCTGAAATTGTAAACGTGTGCGCGCGCACGTGTGCGACGCACTGCGGAATCTCCCACGCGAAGGCTCGCTGCGGCGCCTCTTCTGCACGCGACCGCCACGTCCAGTCAACCCACCTGCTACCCCATGCGGAAGTCGACGAAGCGAATCCCGGCCAAGTGGTCGCCACGATGTCACCACTTCACCGCTAAAGGAAAAAAAGCACGTGTTGCCGCGATCCAATGTGGCCCCGCGTCTAAGGGCCCAGCCCAGCGCGCTTGCACCGCGCCATTCGCTCGACTTGCTCTTCCTCGTCGCCGCGCGCAAGCCAGCGACCGCCAAGCAGTGCGCGTGTGTGGGTGCGTGCGCGCGTTTATGTGATGTGTGTGCGCGTGTTTGCGTGCGCATGCGTCTGCGCGCGTGCGTCTGCGCGCGCGCGTGCGCGTGAGTGCACATGTGCGCGCGCGCGCGAAAGCGCGTTCGCGCGCGCGTCGCGCGCGCGTGCGCGCGGGCACCTCCGGCGTGTCTCCAGGGCACCGCCTGGCTGGATTGTACCTCTGGGGCACCTCGTGGTACTCGGTCGGGTTCTGCCTGGCCTACACCACATACGCGCTGCCCGAAGCATTGGTTTTCCCGCGCCCCTCGCGGGCGCGCGCGGCAAATTCCACGCGGCACCGTTCGCGGTTGGCGCCTTGGTCCGTCTGTCAGCTGGACCCGCGGCGGATTTACCGAATGGCTGCATGCGCCCTGACATGGGACACGGGCCGGCATGGCCGCGGACCTACATCGCTGCATCCTGGCGTCGCACCTGGGCGCGCGCGTCCGCAGCTGGGGCTGCAGTTCGCTGCCCCTGCTGGGCTTTTCAGCCGCATGTCAGCCCGATCCGCCGGCAGCTTTCCACCGCGGCGGTTCGTCGGCCCCCTCCCCTTTGGATCGCGGGGGTCGCTCGGCCCTCGCCGCCGTCGGTCGGTCGCGGGCAGGCCGCGTCGCGGGGCCTTACGCCGTCGCCTCTCCCCCTTACTTCTGCTCTTGCTGCGTCCTTCCCCCGACCGCCTGCCCCTCTTCCCGGGCCACCCCCACCGCGGGGGTCTGTTTTCTCCTGTTTGAACGCTGGCGCAGCCCGTTGGCGGGTCTGTTTTGCCCATCTTCTCTTTTACGTCGCCAGTCGGTCGGAGCGGCGCGACCTTTGCGGTGACGCGCACAATCTTGTGGGCCTAAATGGTTGCCCCGTCTTGCCTGGTTTTGCTCTCGCCCGCCTCGCCAGCAGTCCTTCGCGGCCGTGGTTGCGCCCGGGGTCTGCCGTCTTAGCGCTGTCGTCTACATTCGCTCGGCCATGCAGGCGCCCTGTCCACCACCCACGCGCGCCGCCGCGTTTCGCAGCTGCTTCTCGCGGTCGCCCGCGCTCGGCTCTGTTCTGTCTGTCCGAGCTAGCCTCGGCCGCACGACAAACTTTATCACGCCGGCCTCGTGCACCCTGTCGCACGGCCCCTCAATCCGCCACCTGCTCGCCGCAAGGTCGGCGGCGATGCTCTGTCGCGCAGTTCCCCTGCGCGCATGCACCGCTGCCACGTCGGCTGGCCTGGCAGCCTTACACTTGTTTATGTTTCGCTGCTGCCCCGTCGAGGCTTCGTCGCTGGACTCCTTCATCATGGCGCGTTCGACTAAGTCCGTTCGCAACTGGCACCTCCATCCGCCGACCGCGCCCGAGGCCCCTCCGCGCCGCTGACTTACAAGTGCGCGCGCATGCCTGTGCGAGACGACGCTCAATCGCAATGAACACTTCCACCTGCTTCCCGCGCTTGAGAATCCTCTGCGCCGCCGAATTGAAAAATGCGCGCGCGCGTGCGCACGCATGTGCGCGCGCGTGCGTGAGTGCGTGCGTGCGTCGGTGCATGCTTGCGCCCGCGCGCGCCAGCGCGCGCGGGCGGGCGCGGGCGCGGGCGCCGGCGCGGGGGCGGTCGGGGGGCGCGGGCGCGGGGGCGCGAGGACGGGGGCGTTGGCGCCAGGGCGCTCGGGCGCGTGAGAGCGTGGGCGCGGGTGCGTGGGCGCGGGGGTGCGCGGGCGCGGCGCGCGCGCGCGGGGCGCGCGGGCGCGGGCGGGCGCGCGGCGTGGCTGCGCGGGCATGCGGGCGTGCGTGAGCGTGCGGATGCGTGGGTGCGCGGGTGCGTGGGCGCGCGGGCGCATGGGCGCGCGGGCGCGCGGGTTTGCGCGCGCGTGGGAGTGTGTGTGTGTGGGGGGGGGGGCGTGGGTGCACGCGCGCGCGTGCGCTTGCGCGCGTGTTCGCGCATGCGTGCGTGCGTGAGTGCGCGGGTATGTGTGCGCACGTGTGTAGGCGTGGGCGGGTGCGCGCGCGGGCACGCCCGTCTGCGGGCGTTCGCGCGTGCGCGCGCGTGCGTGCGCGCGCGCAGGCGCATCTGCGCGCGCGCGCGCGCGTGGGTGCGAGCGCGTCCGTGCACGCGCTTTCGCGCGCACTCGCGCGCGCGCGTGTGCGCGCGCACCCGCGCCCGCACTCGCTGGCACGCGCGCGCACGCGCGTCGTCGCCGCGTTTCGTAGCTGCTTCTCGCGGTCGCCCGCGCTCGGCTCTGTTCTGTCTGTCCGAGCTAGCCTCGGCCGCACGACAAACTTTATCACGCCGGCCTCGTGCACCCTGTCGCACGGCCCCTCAATCCGTCACTTGCTCGCCGCAAGGTCGGCGGCGATGCTCTGTCGCGCAGTTCCCCTGCGCGCATGCACCGCTGCCACGTCGGCTGGCCTGGCAGCCTTACACTTGTTTATGTTTCGCTGCTGCCCCGTCGAGGCTTCGTCACTGGACTCTTTCATCATGGCGCGTTCGACTATGTCCGTTCGCAACTGGCACCTCCATCCGCCGACCGCGCCCGAGGCCCCTCCGCGCCGCTGACTTACAAGTGCGCGCGCATGCCTGTGCGAGACGACGCTCAATCGCAATGAACACTTCCACCTGCTTCCCGCGCTTGAGAATCCTCTGCGCCGCCGAATTGAAAAATGCGCGCGCGCGTGCGCACGCATGTGCGCGCGCGTGCGTGAGTGCGTGCGTGCGTCGGTGCATGCTTGCGTCCGCGCGCGCCAGCGCGCGCGGGCGGGCGCGGGCGCGGGCGCCGGCGCGGGGGCGGTCGGGGGGCGCGGGCGCGGGGGCGCGAGGACGGGGGCGTTGGCGCCAGGGCGCTCGGGCGCGTGAGAGCGTGGGCGCGGGTGCGTGGGTGCGTGGGTGCGTGGGTGTGCGGGCGCGCGGGCGCGCGGGCGCGCGGGCGCGTGGGCGGGGCGCGCGGGCGTGGCTGCGTGGGTATGCGGGCGTGTGTGAGCGTGCGGATGCGTGGGTGCGCGGGTGCGTGGGCGCGCGGGCGCATGGGCGCGCGGGCGCGCGGGTTTGCGCGTGCGCGGGGGGTGCGTGGGAGTGTGTGTGTGTGGGGGGGGGGGCGTGGGTGCACGCGCGCGCGTGCGCTTGCGCGCGTGTTCGCGCATGCGTGCGTGCGTGAGTGCGTGGGTATGTGTGCGCACGTGTGTAAGTGTGGGCAGGTGCGCGCGCGGGCGCGCCCGTCTGCGAGCGTTCGCGCGTGCGCGCGCGTGCGTGCGCGCGCGCAGGCGCGTCTGCGCGTGCGTGCGCGCGCGGGTGCGAGCGCGCCCGTGCACGCGCGTTCGCGCGCACTCGCGCGCGCGCGTGTGCGCGCGCACCCGCGCGCGCACTCGCTGGCACGCGCGCGCACGCGCGTCGTCGCGCGCGCGGCGAAATGCGGAAAAAAACCTTCGGCCCCGCAAGGATTTCACATTCGAGAGCCCCGAAAACGCCACAGCCTGCGCTCGCCCCCTTGCGAATTGCAAAGAAAAGCCAACGTTCAATAGAGTCGGCAAATGCCACCACTCGCGCACCCCGCGCGCGCGCGTCGAAATCCCCCGGACGCCCTCGCCCGCGCGCCGCCGCATGAAGCCCCAGCGAAACGCACGCGCGCGCGTCGGCGCGCGCGCTCGCGCCCTCCAAAAACCACAGGATCCGCAAGAAATTCAAAACCGAGCGCCCCAGAAACATCTGAAAACACACGGTTGTGCAACATCCGTTTTCCGCAACCCAATATTGTTTTGTGTTTTGTGTTGCGCTTTCACTGCGAATTGAAAATGCGAGCGGGTCCTGGCGAATCCTGAAGAAAACAATGCGCTTCCAAGATGCTCATCAAATTCAACCAAACGGGCCGGCGGCAGCATGTCGAAATCATTCGAACGCCCTCGCGCGCGCATTAAGGCACAAACCCCTGTCCAAGATACCACGCGGACCACTCGCGCGCGTCGGCCGCGCGCGCACGCCGAACTCCTTCCAAAACCTCCATCACCGACGCGAGCATACCGTCGTCGTCACTGGCGCGACCAGCATCGGCGCCGCCGGTGGCCTTGCCGTCGTCATCGCAACCATCGCCACCATCACCGCCACTACCATCATTGCGCACACCTTTGTCGACGGAGCCATGATAGCGCGCCTGCCCAACGCACCGACTCGCACTGAACTGCCCTATAAAAAATGCCCAGCGGTCAGCGCCACCGCAGCCGCGTCGGTCGCACCGAACTAGCTGGCCGCTGCGCGCGCGAGCATGCGTGGGGCAGCGCGGCCGCGGGGATGCACCAGCCAACACCAAACACTCATCGCAATAGCCGCCGCATGGGTTGTGCAAACCAAGTTGCGGGCGGGTGGGTGGGGTGATAGCGCGAGCAGTGGAGTTGACAAATGCAAGTTTTCCCTAATCAAGTGCACCACGAAAACTCTCCCTTCTAAAACAATAGATCCCCTACCGGACCCCGTGCCCGATGCAGAATGCGAGGGGGGGAGGCATCTTTATAGCGTGGCGAAACGCAAGGGTTCAGCCGAAGGCACGCCGCCCGCCCGCACCTTGGCGGGCGAAAGGAGAGTTGGGTGGGCGGGAGGGAAAAGCCAACCCGCGCCCGAGCCAGATGGCTACAGCAAGGCGGGAGAGAAGGCGGGAGCAGAAGGGAAGCGGGCGCACGCCTCGCTGTCGATACGACCGAAGGTATCGGCCCAGCACGACCGCGTTGCGTCCCACGTCGAACACGGCGCTGACCTCGCAGCGCATGGCGCT